AGGGAAAATAACTATTTTGATTTTGGGGCCTGAGTTCAAAATATTTAAACACAGCAAGTAGTCACGTACTTGGATAGACACAGACGTCTATCATATCTTGAGGACGTAGATGTCGGGATTTGCATAGAAGAGGTGATTGCGGCAATCGGAATGAGCGAAGGGGAAGAAATCTCAAGACATTTTGGACCCTGCTTTCAGTCCATGTTTGTGACAGATCTTAGTATTATCTTTGACTACCTTGCATCAATTCACATTTTTAGTTTAAGTAACTCAGGCTCTTTCCAATCTCTTGATCTTTGTACTTGGTGTTTACTTCTAGAACACACTGTTCTTTATTCCTCACAGGACTGACCGCTTCTCAACCATCAACACTCACTGCCCACTCTATGAAGGGCAAGTGCCCTCCCCATCTCTACCTCAGGCCTTTGTTGTTATTGCCAGCTCACTTTCCATAATAATATGGCTTATTTAAATTCAACTCTTGCACCATCCACTAAGATGCAGGCTCAGTACAGCAGGAACCACATCTGCCTTGCATGCAGATCACCATCACCCAGGCCGTGCTGGTATAAGGAAGGTACTTAATATTTTCAAATGAATGAAGAACATGCTGATTCTGATTCCTTGAGGGATTCTAGTATGACCCAGACCTGTCTAACTCTCTGCCTTACCTCCCATCTTCTGTTCCTATATTAGCTAATTCCAAGCTCTTACGGTTTTCTAAACATTCCAGACTTTTCACATTTCTGTGCTTTCTTGTTTCCACTGCTTAAGATGTTCTTCTGTTATTACTTATTTAGGAAATTATTTTATGAGCCTCAAACTTGGCTTGTCACCTTGTCACCTTTTTAATTTGCCAGAGGGCATGTGTATCAACCAAAGAGAACAGAGAGTCCAAGAGAGAGAGGGAAAAAACACCTCCCCATGAAACGTAGTCATGGTGCGATACTTCTTCCATTTCTCCATCTATTTTGAGGGAGCTTGCATAGGTATGCTCATGGTCTCAGCATGTTTCTCAAGCTGCTGTGTCTGGGACTCGAATTGCAAGGTGAGCCATGTGGGATCCAGCTCCTTTAACCATGAGGTCAAGGACTGGCCCCAAGAAAGTATTCTGTAATATATCCTCTCCAAGATTACATTCCTCACACTTACCACATATGATGTAAACTGCAGTGTGCCCATTTCTCCCATAGATTTAAAATGCCTTGAAGTTAGGGAGACTCATGATCTAAATGTTTGTGTCCCCCAATTCATATATAAAATTCTAATCCCTAACGTGATTATTATTATTTTTTGCTATAGGGTGCGTGCACTCGCCAGCCAGACAGAGAGAGACAGAGAGACAGAAAGCGAAAAATTGCCCCCGGGGGGGGAGGACCACGCCACAATCCCTTCTCCGCCATTCTCCTCTTGGGATCTTGGGCACGCACGAACACATGCCCAGCGTGAGTTTAAGCCACCAGGTCCGGGACTCGAACCACAGTCGACTACATGGGAGTCCAGCAACATAGCCGTTACGCTAACTGCTGGTCCCCCTAACGTGATTATTATTAAGAAGGACTTTTGATAGGTATTAGGTCATGGAATTGGCGTCCTTATAAATAAATCCAAGGGAGCTTGTTCAGCCTTCCACAATATGAGGATATAGCAAGAAGGTGCCATCTATGAACCAGAGGCTGGCTCTACTGGTCTTTGAATCTGTTGGTGCCTAGATCTTGAACTTAGCCTCCAGAAGTGTGAGAATAAGTTACTGTTATTTATAAGCCATTTAGTTCACGATATTTTGTTCTAGCGGTCCAAACAGACAAGGAGCATTCATCATTTGAGTTCCTATCTGCAGCCCTTAGTTCAATGCTTGGTATATATAGTTATTTTATAAATATTTGTTAAGTAAAGGACTGGCTGGATGAAGAAAAAGGGAGTAGGCAGGTAGTATATTAGATACAACCAAAGGCAGCTAGAAATATACCTGCTCTCTTCTTTTTTTAGACAGATTTTTGCTATAAGGCATGTGTGCTCACCAGAGAGATAGAGAGACAGGGAGAAAGCACCACCCAGGGAGGATGGCCACACCACAATCCCTTCTCCTCCATTCTCTTCTTGGGATTTGGGCATGCACACACACTCCATTTGGTGTATATGATGTCTTTTGAGAAATATCTATTCAGGTCCTTTACTCATTTATTGGATTATTTGCCTTTCTGCTATTGACTTGTAGAGTGCCTTATATATTTTTGATATTAATACCTTGTCAGATGCATGATATGTGGAAAATAAATGTGGTCCTGAACAATCAATGTGCTAAGAAAAAATTAAAGGGAAAATGTTAAATATCTTAAGACAAACACAAATGCAAACAGAGTACATCAAAGCTTAGACTCTTTTAAGCACTCTAAGAGTGTCTTCATTTGTTAAATCAGATAAAAACAATAGCCTCTATCATTGCTCATTGTAATATTCAAATATGATATATGTGTTGTATTAGTCAGGACTCACCAGAGAAATAGAAAAAATGGGATGCACTAATTTATTAGTTTAAGGAACTGACTCATATAATTGTGGAGGCTTTGTGAGTTCAAAATTTGATGGGTTGATGACTTTGGAAAGAGTTACTCTTTTTTGGACCAGCAGATAGTGTAATCGTTACGTTGCTGAACTCCCATGTAGCCGACCACAGTTCAAGTCCTAGACCCCATGGCTTAAAACTCATGTCAGGTACATGTGTGTGCATACCAAAAATCCCAAGAGGAGCCTGGAGGAGAAGGGATGGCAATTCCCCATGGAGGGTGATTTTTCCCTTTCTGTCTCTCTGGTGAGCAAACGGATCCTATAGCAAGGATATCTCTTGAGAGAAAAAAAAAACCCATTGTTTTGACTGATCTTAGGTGATGAACTTGTTTGTTGATGAAAAAGGGAATGATTTAATTAATGATGCTGTATTATTCTGCTTTATAGTTTTGTTTATTGTAGATGATCTTGCAAGAAACCCCATATTTGAAAATGTGATTATAAAGCATATTAGGTGGTGTTTATTTACACTGCAAAGTAATTTGCTAGTTTACTGTAAATACTCTGTATATGAAACTGCCAATTTTGGGCTGTAGAGACACTGAACAAAACAGCCATCTTGGCACATTGATGATTCAGCAGAAGTAAAGTAGCTTCAAGGTAGATTATCAGAAAATAAGACGTAGATCATTCACTTCTTTGTAAGTATATTCCAAATTTAGACTGCAAGGTATATCTTAAGTTGGCTGAAAATACATATTTTTAAGTTGGAATCAACAGAATTTTTCCTTTTCTAGGTACTAAGCGTATGGTAGAAGGAGCTATTAATCCAGGAGAAACCTGTTTAGTTATTGAAGATGTTGTCACCAGTGGATCCAGTGTTTTGGAAACTGTTGAGGTTCTTCAGAAAGAGGGCTTGAAGGTCACTGATGCCATAGTGCTGCTCGACAGGGAGCAGGGGGGCAAGGACAAGTTGCAAGCACACGGCATCCGGCTCCACTCAGTGTGTACATTGTCCAAGATGCTGGAGATTCTCGAACAGCAGAAGAAAATCGATGCTGAGATGGTCGAGAAAGTCAAGAGATTTATTCAGGAGAATGTGTTTGTGGCAGCCAATCATAATGGTTCTCTCCCTCCTGTGAAGAAGGCACCCAAAGAACTCAGCTTTGATGTTCGTGCGGAGCTGCCCAGGATCCACCCAGTTGCATCAAAGCTTCTCAGGCTTATGCAGAAGAAGGAAACCAATCTGTGCCTGTCTGCTGATGTTTCAGATGCCAGAGAGTTGCTGCAGCTGGCAGATGCGTTAGGACCCAGCATCTGCATGCTGAAGACCCATGTGGATATTTTGAGTGATTTCACTCTGGATGTGATGAAGGAGTTGGCAACTCTGGCAAAACGCCATGAGTTCTTAATCTTTGAAGACCGAAAATTTGCAGATATAGGAAATACAGTAAGAAAGCAGTATGAAGGTAAGTATTATTCAGGAATTTGCAAGAACCAGTAATATAACATAAACTGACTGAAGATAAAAGAGAATGTATTGTAAATTCAACTCTTGCACCATCCACTAAGATGCAGGCTCAGTACAGCAGGAACCACATCTGCCTTGCATGCAGATCACCATCACCCAGGCCGTGCTGGTATAAGGAAGGTACTTAATATTTTCAAATGAATGAAGAACATGCTGATTCTGATTCCTTGAGGGATTCTAGTATGACCCAGACCTGTCTAACTCTCTGCCTTACCTCCCATCTTCTGTTCCTATATTAGCTAATTCCAAGCTCTTACGGTTTTCTAAACATTCCAGACTTTTCACATTTCTGTGCTTTCTTGTTTCCACTGCTTAAGATGTTCTTCTGTTATTACTTATTTAGGAAATTATTTTATGAGCCTCAAACTTGGCTTGTCACCTTGTCACCTTTTTAATTTGCCAGAGGGCATGTGTATCAACCAAAGAGAACAGAGAGTCCAAGAGAGAGAGGGAAAAAACACCTCCCCATGAAACGTAGTCATGGTGCGATACTTCTTCCATTTCTCCATCTATTTTGAGGGAGCTTGCATAGGTATGCTCATGGTCTCAGCATGTTTCTCAAGCTGCTGTGTCTGGGACTCGAATTGCAAGGTGAGCCATGTGGGATCCAGCTCCTTTAACCATGAGGTCAAGGACTGGCCCCAAGAAAGTATTCTGTAATATATCCTCTCCAAGATTACATTCCTCACACTTACCACATATGATGTAAACTGCAGTGTGCCCATTTCTCCCATAGATTTAAAATGCCTTGAAGTTAGGGAGACTCATGATCTAAATGTTTGTGTCCCCCAATTCATATATAAAATTCTAATCCCTAACGTGATTATTATTATTTTTTGCTATAGGGTGCGTGCACTCGCCAGCCAGACAGAGAGAGACAGAGAGACAGAAAGCGAGAAATTGCCCCCTAGGGGGGATGACCACGCCACAATCCCTTCTCCGCCATTCTCCTCTTGGGATCTTGGGCACGCACGAACACATGCCCAGCGTGAGTTTAAGCCACCAGGTCCGGGACTCGAACCACAGTCGACTACATGGGAGTCCAGCAACATAGCCGTTACGCTAACTGCTGGTCCCCCTAACGTGATTATTATTAAGAAGGACTTTTGATAGGTATTAGGTCATGGAATTGGCGTCCTTATAAATAAATCCAAGGGAGCTTGTTCAGCCTTCCACAATATGAGGATATAGCAAGAAGGTGCCATCTATGAACCAGAGGCTGGCTCTACTGGTCTTTGAATCTGTTGGTGCCTAGATCTTGAACTTAGCCTCCAGAAGTGTGAGAATAAGTTACTGTTATTTATAAGCCATTTAGTTCACGATATTTTGTTCTAGCGGTCCAAACAGACAAGGAGCATTCATCATTTGAGTTCCTATCTGCAGCCCTTAGTTCAATGCTTGGTATATATAGTTATTTTATAAATATTTGTTAAGTAAAGGACTGGCTGGATGAAGAAAAAGGGAGTAGGCAGGTAGTATATTAGATACAACCAAAGGCAGCTAGAAATATACCTGCTCTCTTCTTTTTTTAGACAGATTTTTGCTATAAGGCATGTGTGCTCACCAGAGAGATAGAGAGACAGGGAGAAAGCACCACCCAGGGAGGATGGCCACACCACAATCCCTTCTCCTCCATTCTCTTCTTGGGATTTGGGCATGCACACACACTCCATTTGGTGTATATGATGTCTTTTGAGAAATATCTATTCAGGTCCTTTACTCATTTATTGGATTATTTGCCTTTCTGCTATTGACTTGTAGAGTGCCTTATATATTTTTGATATTAATACCTTGTCAGATGCATGATATGTGGAAAATAAATGTGGTCCTGAACAATCAATGTGCTAAGAAAAAATTAAAGGGAAAATGTTAAATATCTTAAGACAAACACAAATGCAAACAGAGTACATCAAAGCTTAGACTCTTTTAAGCACTCTAAGAGTGTCTTCATTTGTTAAATCAGATAAAAACAATAGCCTCTATCATTGCTCATTGTAATATTCAAATATGATATATGTGTTGTATTAGTCAGGACTCACCAGAGAAATAGAAAAAATGGGATGCACTAATTTATTAGTTTAAGGAACTGACTCATATAATTGTGGAGGCTTTGTGAGTTCAAAATTTGATGGGTTGATGACTTTGGAAAGAGTTACTCTTTTTTGGACCAGCAGATAGTGTAATCGTTACGTTGCTGAACTCCCATGTAGCCGACCACAGTTCAAGTCCTAGACCCCATGGCTTAAAACTCATGTCAGGTACATGTGTGTGCATACCAAAAATCCCAAGAGGAGCCTGGAGGAGAAGGGATGGCAATTCCCCATGGAGGGTGATTTTTCCCTTTCTGTCTCTCTGGTGAGCAAACGGATCCTATAGCAAGGATATCTCTTGAGAGAAAAAAAAAATAAGTTACTTGTTCCTCTGAAGGAAGTCTGGAATAGAAGCAGGAAGATGAGGTCCAAAGAGAATTCCCTCTTGCTTGAGGGAGGTCAGTCCTTGTTCTAATCAGGCCTTTAACTCAGTGTATGAGGCCAATGACATTATGAACAACAGTATGCTTTACTCAGAGTCCACAAATTTGAATGAAATCTCATGCAAAGACACTTCACAGAAACATCCAGAAAAATGCTTGACCAAGTACCTGGGTAATGTGATGCAGCAAAATTGATAGCTGACATTAAGTATTGTATATACAGAACACATAGTGTAGATTTTTAGATATTAGTTAGGAAATACTCCCTAGCCAGACTCTGGTCTGGCGCTCTGTCCCCACTCATGTCTGTAAGTAAGGAGCCATGAGAATGTGTATTTTAAGGTCAATGACTTGTGGCTGGATGAAATAATGTGATTTTCATTCTTCTATTCTGAGTTTCTCTGTAAGCCATCTCTGTAAAATTGAGTTATGTTTTATACAAACAGCATAGATAAGAAGAGCTTTTTACTATAAAGTAGAAATTGAACAAAACAGAAAAAAGTGTGTAAGGCACAAACTAGTGTAAACTCCTGGATTGCCATGGCCTAACCCAGGGCCCTGGTCAATGCAGTTCCCTTAAGTAGTTCAAGCAATGAGCTAAAGCATGCCTCCCTTTCTCAGAAAAGGACCCAAAGGGCATGCTTTTTTCTTTCAATCCCTATTAAGAAAATTTCTGCCTGGCAGTCAATGTCTTGAAGAGCACTCAGGTATATATGCATGGGATGTCTTTCATAATATTCCCAGAGGGCTGATGAACTCCCACACTAAAAACTGCTCGTCAGAACGAGGTGGGGAGTAATACGTTATGATGGCATCCACATAGCCTTGGTAATTTCTTTTCAAAATAACTGAAACTCTTTGCTAAGTGCTACCAACTTTCAAGCTAAAATCTCCTGCCATAACGGGGGTGCAAAGGAAGTCAGTTTATATGAGTCACTAACATCACACAGCAATCTTAAAAATAATAGTAAATGACATGTTTGCTTCTGGTAGTGAGAATGGCACCTCCAAGGTAGGAGGCTGCCATCTCCCATTTGTCTCTGCCAGGGGCCATGGAAAGAACCCTGGGCTGTTCCAGTGAAAGATACATTTTGGCAGAGTAGAACTGAATTTGGTAGGGACGTGTGGGTAAGTGGGATAGGAAGGGAAACATCTGAATAAAGGCACCACCATCACCAGCAGTAGGTTTGAGCCAGCATTGCCTGTTAGGCTGGAACTCACCACAGAACTGCATCACTGGCACGCCACCTCCAAACCCAAATGGCTAACATGACACTGCATTTGCACAAATGGCAGCCAGAGACCACATTTAGAATGCTTCATGAGATTTTATTTGATAGTATTCAGTCATATAGATTTTGAGGTAAATATGGAGTTCTAAAAGTACACGAACATTTCATTTTTTTAAATCTTGCATTGGTCACCATCGATGAGTACTTTCTGATCTAGTCCTTATAGATTCATATTCAAATATGCCATGAAGAGGAGATACATGAATTTATATGATGCTATTTATGGATTATAAAAATAGAGAAATACAAAAATAGTATTTAGCAGTAACAGAAAATATATATTTCTTTTTTATTCCACTCCTGTTGAAATTAAACCTAAACACTGAAATAGAGAGTAGTCTGGTTTTTCACATTTACTATAGATTATCAATACAATATTTTTCTTTCTTGAATAATGAAGCACATGACTCAGCACTGTATAATTTGGGCTTTGTTTAAACATTAATTACTATAATCACGAGGGCCACCATTAAAAGCCAACAGAGCAATTCTGTGCTTTGCAAAAGAGAGACTTTCACCAAAGCTAGAGCCAATAGCTTTATTAGAATCAGTTTAAATAGCTAAAGAAGAATGTCAGATTGGTTCACTGGTAAAGGAGTTTGGACATCTGTCTCAGGCATGTGTGAGGAATGGTATTCAGTTAGTAAATATTTTCATTTTCAGTAGTCAGCGCCGAAAAGAAGCTACTTCAAAGAACGGGGTCTTACAGTTCTATAGACGTTCTTTTCCTGCCATGGTAAATAATTATTTGACTTTCTTCATTTGTCTTCATGGAATTAATTATATTTCTTAGAAACAGTGTAAAATTAAAGGCTATTTTTAATTAGAAAATGTTTCCTTGGAAAAATTTTCATGCATGTTAAAATGTACTTTGTTTCAAATACTTAATTTCACTTAAAATGAGAAATCAAAGATGGAACATAGCAATAGAGCAATTTGGAAACTGTCACATTAATCACCACAAAAAAGTTAATTTTTCACAATAGACAACTGATGGTGAACAGCCAATTAAGTACTACACAATTACTCAACGGCTATCCTCAGGAAAGAATTATTCTATTTTATGACCACTAATTGCATGGTCACTGGCCTTAGACATTGTTTAGTTAGGAATTTATTTAAAAATGATAACATTTTGCTTAGAACTTAGAAAGTATATATTTGTTTTAATTTAGAAGAACTGAACACTATTTTAAAGAATTGTTATTTTAAAAGATCAGCATCATGTGGGTGACATCGAAGTTCGTGGCACCTGTTTCACAAATCACCTTAACGCGCCAGATTCACAGCTAAGGGTAAGCCTCTCTTTGGTTCATAAGGGGTTGTCCTGGAAACCATCTTGATGCAGTCGATAATAGGGCAGACACTGAGACACAGAGTACAGCCTGTACAGGTGTCAGTAACAGTGGGAAGGTGTGTCTCTGGATCAAACTGTATAGCCTGCAAACAGAAATAAAGAACATTGATGTCAGCACCCACCAAGCTCAAGAACGCCCCCTTCTTAGCTTTAGTACTTTCCTCCACCCAGTAGAGCTGCACTTTGAGACAATTGTGTCTAGCTGGGTGGGGCAGTGGTAGCAACAGTTGAGCTGACAGAGGAGGAAAAGGAGAGAGAATGAATTCCTTTAAATTAGGAACAGTGTTTAAAATTCCTAGAAGTATTTTTTCTTTAGGGTGGGAGGAAAATGTTTCACAACACAGCAACTTTCCAGTTTCCTTGGTATTGAACAGAGCTCAGGTTTTCCCTGTCCTACCAGGATGGGGTGCCTTCTCCCTGAAAATGTCAGGGATGGGCTAGGAGGGCTTTTACATATCCTCAGACACTCCTGTTCTTCTTTTTCTTCTGGAGAGAGACAGAAAGACAGAAAGCAAGAAACCACCCCCCAGTGGGGATGGCCACACCACAATCCCTTCTCCTCCATTCTTCTCTCGGGATCTTGGGCACACACACACATGCGCCCGGCGTGAGTTTTAAGCCACCGGGTCTGGTATGCGAACCGCATTCGACTATGTGGGAGTTCAGCGATGTAGCCATTATGCTAACTGCTGGTCCCAGACACTCCTGTTCTTGATAGTGGAAAAGAGATACTGTCAGAGGAGGTCATGAATGCCCGTGTTTGGATTTCAAAAAATACATGTCATTTTTAGAAGAAAGCAGCAGAAAAGAATTAGCTCAAGAGCTGGACTTGAGTTTTGAGGATTTTCAAGCAAATTGTAGCCATTGCACTGAATGAAGAGTCAGGACACCTAGCGGTCAGTCTTAGCCTTGACACTACTCAGTTGTGAGGCCCAGAGAGAGGACTTGGGCTCTGAATCTACACAGGATTGCGTGAAACTTGATAATATCTTTCTTTTTATATTATAATACAATCTAGAATAAATAGCAAATGTATTCAGGGTGAAACTTGGAAGTGAGATTATTATTTTTTTTTTAAGTTGTAATGATCATTTTCCTGTTAGAGAGAAACATTTCAACACTGGAAGTAATCAACAAGTTCTAAGTGTTAGGATTCTATCCAAGAGGGACTTCAGGGAAACCATGAGGGGAGCAGGTGGATGAGGCGGAGGAGACGTAAAGGACTCCTCGTGTGGTGGATTCACTTGCAGAACGAATACAATGGTTTTACTCAGACCGTGTACTAATTTAGAGTCATGAGGAAGGGCTGAGGGAAATTGCCAGAGCTAGTAAATCTCCCTCCCAATAATATTCTCTGAAGTCAAGTCGGCAAATATTGCATTTTTAAGTAATTTTGTGATTCTAGTTTTTCTCTATCTCATACTTGTGTTAAAAGCTAATGCAATATATACATATATTTCATTGTATTTAAATATTTTCCTCCTCCAGGGACCAGCAGTTAGCATAATGGCTATGTCGCTGGATTCCCATGTATTTGACTGCAGTTTGAGTCCCAGACCCGGGGGCTTAAACTCACGCCAGGCGCGTGTGTGTGCATGCCCAAGAGGAGAATGGAGGAGAAGGGATTGCAGCATGGCCATCCCTCCTGGGAGATGATTTCTCGCTTTCTGTCTGTCTCGCTCTGTCTTTCTGGTGAGCGCACGTGCCCTATAGCAAAAACCTCTCCAAAAAAAGAAAAAAAAATTTCCTCCTCCAAATGAAGCTACATGTAATTATAATTTTTTCTGTTTTATACATATAAAAGTGAAAATGATCTTTTCAGAGTATGTGTGTGTGTGTGTGTGTGTGTGTGTGTCTTTAAGGAAATAACCTTAAATTTGAACAAAAACTATAGCTATAGCAAATTATGAGAAAATTGTCCACACAAGTTATTGCTATGTTTTGTTGGGTATCATTCTCCCTTAGGCGTCATTTTATATATATAAATAAAAACTCATTGAAGTAATTGACAAAACCTAAAACAATACTTCTAAATTTTGTACTTTGAACATTTGAAAACATACAAAATTTTACATTCAATTGAAATTTTTGATATTTTGCTTTTTATCTTATGAGACAGAAGAGTCAAAGAACTTCCAAAATTTTTTTAAATGCATAACTATTTTTTTTATTAATAAGATAATTTTTAATCAAGTTGTACCAAGGGTAGAGTTTCAAGATAGAAACCATAAGTTCTAACTTTTAAGATATTTGACCTTCAATGCTATGATAGTTATAGGATTCTTTGACTTATCTCTGATTAGTTAACTAGGAGAAAGATGAAAGGAAAGTGAATATAATATGATTAGCATTTTCAAAATAACTGCTAGAGACACCTTTCAGCTAGGAAAAAAAAGCAATAGATTGAATAAAAATTTGATGAAGAACTAATGTCAAATTAAGGAGGAAGAATTTTTTTAACAAATTAAAATGTATCTGTCATAAGAATATAAATGTAAAATCCCCTATGGGACCTGCCCCCAGGTTGAATAAGGTGAATGAATAATCTTCACTTTGTAAAGATGGGGCATTTTATTATTTATCTAGAACATTCTATTGATAGTTTCTTAAATGGATCTTATGTTACTTTTTCATACTACTTTACACCTTGAAATTTTTTTTTGGAGAGTTTTTTTTTTTTTTTTTTTTTTTTTTTTTTTTTAATGGGGGGGGGGTTGTACCAAATACAAAAACAG